TAAGAATCAACAGTGTCTTTGAATGAATCAAATTTAGTCTCCAAGAACAATTGTCAAAATTGGGATCTAAGTCGGTAGTTTAATATATTTAGTGTTTAATCAAGGATGTGAATTTATTCACCAAAATTAATCCTTGCCTTAAATAGTAAGAATCATTAGGCAATAAAGACATTCCTTTAAGGAAATAAACTTAAGATTTTAATAGGTCTTTATCATGTCAAAATATGGACAAAATCTTAGCTCACATGAGTATAGTAAAATTAGGAAAATAGCCTGAAATATCAGGCTTGATATTAATCAGTTAAAATTTTTATAGTTAGTCTGGTACATATAAATCTCTTTTTTAAAATTGTTTTAACTTTCCACATCATCTGTTTAGGTAATGATATAAAGATCTTTCTATTTAGAAAAATACTTTTATCATTAAAATCTAGAATATAAAGACCTTATTTTACCCAAAGATTATTTCTTTCTTCTTTTTAGGACATCCAATGTGTGCTTTCTCTCTGTTGAAACATCTTTCTCTTCTAGAATTTTTCCTGGTTATGCTTTGGGACAATTTCTAAAAACCTTAGAATCTAAACAAATTATTGTATTTTGAGAAGAAGAAATATCAATGAAAATATAGTTAAAGTCCTTATATATAATTATATCTGTTTATCATCTTAAAGTTTGTACAATAACTTTGAGAATTAGAAATTACTTGAAGGTTGTATTCTCTCTTGAAAGCAAATTTATAGGAAAACACATTTATCTCAAATATCTGTAACTAAAAGACAGCATCAGATAAATGTATGTATAAAACATATAAATTATGGGTTTCCTGTTGAAGAAAAACAAACAAATATATATTAACTAAGCAATTAGACATATGTTAATTATTATATGGATTAACAACTATAGGTTATCAAAATACCTAGAAAAATATATATATTAAGAATAAGGGCATAACATAATTGTATTAACTTTATGAAACCATGTGGTTCTTAGATATTTGTATCCATTCCAATTTACTTTTAACTAGGAGTGCACTCTTACATGTGACATCACGTGATATAGCTGAAATAAGATCCTTGTGTATACCTTTATTTCTTTCTTATAATTATATAG